CGTTACTACCCCACTCGGCACCTCACGCTGTCATCTGCAAAGCGGGATCGTAATAGCTACCTCCCAGGGTGGCTGCGAGGGCTCGGAAAATTGGCCTCATGGTGCCAGGTATATATTAGGTGTTTAATAAAGGCTCACTGATGTGACAGCAGTGAAACACAGGACCCTCCCAAGGGTTGGATTTGGCAACATCTGAGTCTGTGGGGGGATCGTAAAAGCCAGGCTGCACCTGGAAGCTATGACGGGGGGGTGGGGGTGGGGGGAAGAGGGGGTGGGATGGGGGCGGTGCTGGGCAAAGGCTGGTGGCTGGTTTTAGGACCTGGGCAGCTCGGCCTCCGGTATCCTGGACCAGACACTGACCAATTAATGTTTGTCTCTTTACGATGTTGATGGAATCATCTTGTAACATTGCAGGTGCCTAATGAGGGTGTGGGCAGCTACGGGGCAGTGAGTCCTGGAACTTCCCTGCCTTGCACACGCCCTCACGCTCATGGCTTTGCAGAGCTGACTTCTCCCGAAACAGACCAGGCCAGTTCCACTGTCAGCAGGGGGTCAGAGCCCCATGTGCAGTGGCTGCAGAGAGAGATGCTGGTTACAGCACACAGGGCTAGAAGGTGGGTGTGGGGAGGGGCCAGAGTGCAGGAGACCCAGGCCAAGGAAGATCCAGTTCTGCCCAACACGAGTCAAAGAAACTTGCAGAGCTGGAACCGTGGAGAACAGACACTGGTGGACTTTGAGTGAAACAAGCAAACAGATCAAAGCCAGTCATCTGCTCCCCCCTCCAAAGACCCCGCCTCGATGTCGGGAAGGAGTTGCAATGGCACAAAGCCACGATGTGCCAGGGAACCGGAGATGGACGGTGGGAGGCCTCTGCAGCCTGTGGAAAGGAACCGTTGGAGGAGAGGGAGGCGAGGAGGAAGCCACCTCCAGTCGGAGCACAGACACCCAGGCTTCTGCTAAGAACCCCAGGGAGGCGTGAAGAGAGGTGCCGCGGGCGTGATGCCGGGCAGCTGTGAGATGAGGAACAGAAGCCAGCGAGTCATTCGAAAGCTCGTATAAGGCGGTTGCCTCTGCTTCCACCCCTAGTAAAACAAACAGATCATTTAATAAGATTATAAGGTCCTGGAGAAACCACCCTCCACAAACACGCTGGCTTGTGGGGGTTCCCAGAACAGCACCTGGCTTGCCAGCCCAGGAGCCTAGACGGAGCTCCTGAGCAATGGCTCTTGCCTATGTGCACAAAGTTCCCAGAGTTGATTCTTAAATTGCCTCACTTTAAAAAAAAAAGTTTATTTATTTATTTTAAAGGAAGAGAAAGAGAGAGAGAATCTTCCATCCACTGGTTCAGTTCCCATATGCCTGGGGCTTGGCTAGGCTGAAGCCAGGAGCCTGGAACTCTATCTGGGTCTCCCACATGGGTGGCAGCGATCCGGGTATTTGAGCCCTCACTGCCACCCCCCAAGGTGCACATCAGCAGAAAGCTGGATCTGAAGTAGAGGCAGAACTGAATCCCAGGCACTCCACTATGGAATGTCAGTGTCAGGGTCAACACAGACTTCAAAATTCTACCAGAGGGCAGGCAAGGAGGGGGTGGGCAGCAAAGAAAGAAAATGGGAAACAGAGAGGCGGCGCCGTGGCTCAATGGGCTAATCCTCCGCCTTGCGGCGCCGGCACACCGGGTTCTAGTCCCAGTCGGGGCGCCGGATTCTGTCCCAGTTGCCCCTCTTCCAGGCCAGCTCTCTGCTGTGGCCCAGGAGTGCAGTGGAGGATGGCCCAAGTGCTTGGGCCCTGCACCCCATGGGAGACCAGGAGAAGCACCTGGCTCCTGGCTTCAGATCAGCGCGGTGCGCCAGCCGCAGCGCACTGGCCGTGGCAGCCATTGGAGGGTAAACCAATGGCGAAAGGAAGACCTTTCTCTCTGTCTCTCTCTCTCTCTCACTGTCCACTCTGCCTGTCAAAAAACAAAACAACAACAACAAAAAACAAAAAAACAAACAAAAAAAAAAAACAAGAAAATGGGAAACAGAAAACACAAAATAGCTTTATGGTAAGGACCAGTCAGTAACCACCTAAAATAAACCCGAATAGATCAATTTCATCTCCTAATAGAAACACGTTATCTGAGAAGCCAGAATTGTGGCACTGTGGGTTAAGCCAGCACCTGCAACTCAGGGATCCCATACCCGAGTGCCAGTTGTGTTCCAGCTGCTTCGCTTCCAGTCCAGCTCCCTGCTTCTGTTCCTGAGAAGGCAGTGGAAGACAGCCAAGTACTTGGGCCCTTGCCAACCACATAGGAGATCCCGATGGAGTTCCTGGCTCCTGGCTTCAGTTCGGCCCAGCCCTGGCTATTTGCAGCCACTGGGGGAGTGAACCAGAGGATGGAAGATCTCTTTCTATCTCTCCGTGTCCCTAGATCCTCTGACTTTCAAATAAATAAAATAAATGCTTTTTAAAAATACCTTATCTGAACAAAATTTAGAAAAATCCAGGTGCATGCTGGTTACAAAAGATACACCTAAAGTAAAACTAAAGATAAAAGGTAAAAATAAAGAATTGGAAAATAAATCCTACAGAGATATTAACCAGAAGAAAACGAATACAGTTAAAAAAAATTGCATAAAGCAGATTTTAAGAAAAGCATAAAAGCCAATACAATTGTAAAAGGTAAAAAAAAATCACCTGGAAAATATAATGATTTAAACTTCTCAGGAGCTGGTGCCATGGCTCACTTGGTTAATCCTCCGCCTGCTGCTCCGGCATCCCATATGGGCTCCGGGTTCTAGTCCTGGCTGCTCCTCTTCCAGTCCGGCTCTCTGCTGTGGCCTGGGAAAGCAGCAGAAGAGGGCCCAAGTGCTTGGGCCCCTGCACCCACATGGGAGACTTGGAGGAAGTTCCTGGCTCCTGGCTTAGGATTGGTGCAGCTCCAACCTTTGCGGCCATCTGGGGAGTGAACCAGTGGTTGGAAGACCTTTCTCTCTGTCTCTGTCTCTCTCTCTCTCTGCCTCTGCCGCTCTGTGACTCTGCCTTTCAAATAAATAAATAAACCTTTAAAAAAAAGTCAATGAAACATATGTATTATGAAAAACTATGTGTGGATTTGAAAATATTTCTGCACCCAAACACATTTATCTTTTGTTTTCTTTATTTTTAAAAACTTGAATTTTTGGCCGGCACCGCGGCTCACTAGGCTAATCCTCTGCCTTGCGGCGCCGGCACACCGGGTTCTAGTCCCGGTCGGGGCACCAGATTCTGTCCCGGTTGCCCCTCTTCCAGGCCAGCTCTCTGCTGTGGCCCGGGAGTGCAGTGGAGGATGGCCCAAGTCCTTGGGCCCTGCACCCCATGGGAGACCAGGATAAGCACCTGGCTCCTGCCATCGGATCAGCGCGGTACGCCGGCCGCAGCGCGCTGGCCGCGGCGGCCATTGGAGGGTGAACCAACAGCAAAGGAAGACCTTTCTCTCTGTCTCTCTCTCTCTCACTGTCCACTCTGCCTGTCAAAAAAAAAATTAAAAAAAACTTGAATTTTTTAAAAAAGATTCATCTATTTATTTGAAAGGGACAATTACAGAGAAAGGGAGAGACAGAGAGAGCAATATCTTCCATCTGCAGGTTCACCCTCCAAATGGATGCAATGGCCAGGGCTGGGCCAGGTCAGAGCCAGGAGCCTGGAACTCCACCCAGGTCTCCCATGTGGGTGGTCTGGGCCCAAGTACTTGGGCCCTCCTCTGTTGCTGGATCAGAGAGGGAGCGGGACTCAAACTGGAGCTCATATGAGATGCCAGTGTTGCAAGTGGTAGTTTAATCTGCTGTGCCAGAACACTAGCCCCTGGGCCATCTTCTACTGCTTTCCCAGGATACAGCAGGGAGCTGGATTGGAAGCGGAGCAGCCGGGACTCGAACCGGTGTCCATATGGGATGCCAGCCCCAAAACTTGCTTTTAAATTTCATTTCCCATGAACTTTGGGAAGTACCTTCTTATATTATTTTATGTTTGTGCATATATGTATATATGTATTTATGCTACATAAATATACAATTATAATGGGAAATTGACAAATTCACAATTTTTTTTCTCAGTAATTAACTGAAAAACAGACCAAAAATTAAAATTTACAGAAGACTTAGCAGCTTCAGGATTTACCCAAAGGACAGATAATATCCTGAGTGCAATTAGGAAGAGCATAAACACACACACACACACACACACACACACACTGTTTTCTCAAGAGGATATTTACAAAAATTGACCATGTACTAGGCTATAAAACAAGTCTTAAAAATGTTCAAAGAACTGGGATCAGATATCACAACTGATTTGGAAATCAGTGACAGAAAGGTAAAACAGATGAACACAGCTGGAATAAAAAACACACTCAATTTCAAATGCAGACCAGCTCCTGCCTGGGGGGCCAGCGGCTGAGGGGTGAGGGGGGGGCTGGGCTGGATGGGCTCCTCCTAGAGGTGTGTGCGCTGGGACCCCGGGGTGGGAGGGGCAGGTGCCCAGGATTAGACCTGGGCCCCACCCCCATAGGGGACTGACGCATCGCACCGGCCACCACTCACTCTTGATCTCTTCTGCAGGAGGTTGTTTCCTTTCCCGCTTCTCCTGCAGCCGGGGTCCCTGGCCAGGATGCCAGCACCATGCTCTGCCCTCCAGCACTGTGAGCTAAATAACCTCTCTTTACCAAGTTCCCAGCCTTGGGGATCTCGTTACCGCCACAGCAAGTGGACGAAGGGGCGCAGCCAGCAGGGGTCTGCGTTCTTGGTCCGGCCAGTGCCAGGAGCGGGGTGTTTGGGAGCAGATCCTCCAACCTCAGCCAACAGTCTCATGAATCCTCCTGGGAGGCCTGGGCAGACCCCCCAGCTGAGCTCCCAGACCACTGACTCGGAAACTCTGATTCAGGGCAACTGCTAGGCACCGATGGAGCCTAATACACCAAGACTCGCACATAGGCAATCCAACAGGCCACGATGGGTTTTCTGAGGAGTTCTACAACACAGTCGAGGGAAGATCATCTTAACTTTAATAAACCACTCCAGAGAGCACATCCCCACCCACACAGTGAAGCTGTATAATTTGGATAACAAAACCAGTTGAGGATAGTAATTTTTAAAAATTTACAAACACATCTCACTAGTGGACAGATGTTAAATGTCATAAATAAGATATTAGCAAATTAAATCAGCAATATACGTTTTAAATGCATGGCTAGACTTGTTTACTGAAAGAAGACAAAAATAAACTTAACTTCTCAAAATCTGTGTATGTATTCATCATTTTAACATATTGAAGGAAAAAACATGTAAACATCTCAATAAGTAAGATACAAGTTGATAAAATTTAACATCTACTCATGATTTGAAGACATACTTTAAAAATTAGGACTAGAAAAGTCACATTTGTTGACAAAACGTTAGAGGGATTCCATTTGCAATCAGATGGATCATTTCATTTATTTTCATTTTCTTAAGTTGAAATGCAGACACAGAAAGAGAGAAAGACAGAGATCGGCCATCCGCTGATTCACTCCCCGATGGCTGCAACAGCTGGAGCTGGGCCAGGCTGAAGTTCCTGGCTCCACCTGCTGCCATGCAGGATGTGTATTGCCAGGAAGCTGGCTCAGAAACGGGGCATCTGGGATCCGGGTATCCCAGGTTGCGATTCAAGCTGTCCCACCAAAAGCTGCCCCTTTTCTTTTTTATTTATTGATTTTCAAATTTTATTTGATTTATTTGATTTATTTATTTATTTATTTATTTTGACAGGCAGAGTGGACAGTGAGAGAGACAGAGAGAAAGGTCTTCCTTTGCCGTTGGTTCACCCTCCAATGGCCGCTGCGGCCGGCACGCTGCGGCCGGCACACCACGCTGATCCAATGGCAGGAGCCAGGTGCTTCTCCTGGTCTCCCATGGGGTGCAGGGCCCAAGCACTTGGGCCATCCTCCACTGCACTCCCTGGCCACAGCAGAGAGCCGGCCTGGAAGAGGGGCAACCGGGACAGAATCCGGCACCCTGACCGGGACTAGAACCCGGTGTTCTGGTGCCCCAGCACCGGCTCAAATTTTATTTGAAAGGCAGAGACCAAGAGACAGGGTGGTTTTAAGCTTGCTTACCATCACCCTTTCTATTCAATGTCATATTGGAGGCTTTAACATAGTAAGAAAATAAAAATAATGCTTATAAGATTTTAATAGGAAAAAGTAAACTATTACAAATATTGCCAAATATATTTATAAAAAGCAAATCATATTCCTATATATGGGTAATAATAATTAGAAATTGTGATTCTTCAAATAAATATCATCTATCATAGCAACAAATAAGGGTGAAGACACCCAGGAACCAATCTAGCAAACCCTGTGCAAGATTTATATGACAACAATTCTGCAACATGAAGAGATTTGAAAAGACCTAAATAACAGTAAAGGTGGATCATGTTCAATGGCAAGAACATTAAATATCATAAAAAATGCAAATTCTTCCCCAAATCAGCTAATAAACTCATGGCAAATCCTGTCAAAATCCCAGCAGGGTTTCCCAGTGGAGTTTGTCCTGCTGACCATAAAATGTGAATAGAATTGCAAAGGCTAAAAATAGAAAAAAGAACAAGCTGGTCCTACACCAAAAATTCTAAAAGCTGCAGCAAGGAAGATTATGAGTGTAGAGACCAGTGGTTAGGCCAAGAGACTAGTGATCTAGGCTGCAGCACTCAGAGACCAAACCGCACACATACAGGAACTTGATAAATGACAGCAGGGAAAGACAATGTCTGATCCAGGATCTGGGACAACAGGATACACAGCTGGAAAAAAATACAGCTGGCTCTCTACCTTACACAAAAACACGGTCCATGCAGGTTTTCATTTTTACTTTTTATTTGAAAGTCAGAGTTACACAGAGAGAGGAGAGACAGAGAGAGAGAGGTCTTCCATCCACTGGTTCACTGCAGATGGCTGCAACCATTGGAGCTGCCCTGATCTGAAGCCAGGAGCCAGGAGCTCCCTCCAGATCTCCCACACGGGTGCAGGGGCCCAAGGACTCAGGCCATCTTCTATTGCTTTCCCAGGCCATAGCAGAGAGCTGGATCGGAAGTGGAGCAGCTGGGACTAAAACCCACGCGGGCACTGCAGGCAGTGGCTTTACCCACTAGGCCACAGTGCTGGGCCCCCATGCAGGTTTTAGACCTAACTGTGAAAAGCAAAACTTACAGAAGAAAACACAAAAGTCTACCTTTATGACTTGAGAATAGAAAGAAGCTGAAATGTTTTAAAAGTACAAACTGTAAAGTTATGTTGCTGAACTTGACTAGATTAAAAAGAAAACTCCTGTTTTCAACAAAAGGCTGCATAGACCGAGTAAAATCAGACTGGACAGGATAGTTGCCAGCTGTATCGCTCGCTTACAGAAGATCAGTGTCTAGAATATGCAAAGAATACCTCGAATATACAAACACTTTCTCAAAGCCAACAAGAAGACAAAATTGTTCCCTTATAAATTGGTCAATGTATACACATAATTTTCAAGAAAAAAAGCCTAAATTTCATTAAACATTTAAAAACAGGATCGACTTCAACACTTACCAAGGACATATAAAGCAGCAATGAGGTACCATGGCATCCCTAACAGATTGACATTATCAAGAGTTAAGGGGTGGGGGTTGGTGCAGCAGTCCCACTGCTTAGGACACCTGTATTTGGTGTTAGTGTACCTGGGTTCAAGTCCTGGCTCCACTTCCAGTCTGGCTTCCTGTTAATGCACCCTGGGAGACAGCAGACAATGGCTCAAGTGCTTGAGCCCCTGCCACTAATATGGGAGACCCAGATGGAGTTCCAGACTCCTGGCTCTGGCTGCAGCTTGCATTTGGGGCATGAATGGAAGATCTTTCTATCTCTCTGCCTTTCAAACAAAATGAGAGTCAAGTTTAAAAAAAGATTTAAAAGGTAGGGAGGATGCAGAAAATGGGGACTAAAAAGAAAAAAATTACTGGGGATAAGTGTCCATAAACAAAAGAACAAATAAATGATGGCATAGGCAGTCAATAGAATATTATACAGAATATTCTGTCTAGAATATTGTATATAAAATAAGTGAACTAGAGCCAAATGCATCAGGTGGATAAATCTCAAAAGGTTCTTAGCTCAGAAAAACAGAGAAGGCCATGTGCAGAACAGTACGGCTTATATCAAATCTGGAAGCCTGCAAAGCACTACTTGAGCTTGTTCGGGGCTGTGGACACATGCAGTAGGGGTATAAAATCGTGCATAGGGATGCAAAACACCAAATCGATCGTCATTAACCTCTAAGGAGAGGAGGGGCATAGACTCAGGGAAAAGCTATTCAAGCTTAAAGCCTTCAACTTTATCCGCTGTATATTATACTGTTAAAACAAAAAACCTGACGCACACCAGCAGAGGAGGAGTTTATAAAGCTGGCTGAGGCGTATGGATTTGTCCTCCACAAGGTTCTGAAAGTTTGAAGAGGGCCCGAGCTCGGCAGAGATGTCACCGTTGGAAGGGACGCGGAAAGGCGGGTGCCACAGGAGTGTGTATGTCGTAGTCACTGCTTGTCGGGCTGCTGACCACTTGGTCGCTGCAGGAGGCCCACGTGCACAGGCGCCCAGCAATGTGCCAGCACAGTGTGTCCCGGAAGATCTGTCCCAATAGCTCTGGAGCCCCACGGGGGCCAGCCACTACCTAACTACTTGACATGGATTATCTAATTCCATCCTGGCGACCAGGGTAAGAACCACTGTCACCCCCACTCTACAGGTGAGGGGGCAGGTGGCTGGCCTGAGAGCGCTGGTTACAGCTGGAGTCTGCAGCCCATCCAAAGAGCCTGGATTTTCGACTGGGTGTTTAGGCTATCAGTGAAGATGGCCAATTAGGATGCCCGGGTTCTGGGGCCGAGTGTCTGGCTGCAAGTCTTGGTTCTGGCTCCAATTCTAACTTCCTGCTAGTGCAGACCCCTGGGAGCAGTCATGCTGGCTCAAGTAACTGGTTTCCCAGATCCCAATTTCAGATCTGCCCAGTCCCAGCCATGCCGGGCATTTGAGGGTGAACCAGCAGATGGAGAACTCTGGTTCTCTGCCTCTTTCAAAAAAGAGAAAAAAGCCAGATTTGTGCTATAGGAAGTTTGAAAACTGGGAGCATTGGGAATAAAGACAAGAGCGGACAGTGGAGGCAGCACATACACAGACACCTTAAAGTAACACTCCAGAACGGAGGGTGACCAGGACCAAATGGAGGCGCTCATGGCAGGGAAAGCTTTAGTCTGCTGGGCAATCAGGGAGGGCTTCCCCAGGAGGCAACGTTCGAACCTGGCTGTGAAGGGGAAGTGCAGCCACAAATGCCAGGCTCCGGCTCTCTCTGCTCCACATGCAGGTGGTGTTGCTGGGAGGGTCTACTGTGCTGGCCAGCGAGGACAGAGCCTGCCCACACAGAGCTAGGACCGCCCACAGGTGAAGACAGACTGATGGGGCTGCCATCTCAACGTTGAGTTTGCTCTGACCTTTATACGCTGAGAAGAAAAATCAACTCTAAGCTCTTTTTAGTAAACAAGATGCCAGTAACAATTGCTCACCCTGTAGTAATAGGAGCTAACATTTATTGAGCATTTACTGTATGCAGGTCACCAGGCTAAGACATTATTGGCTGTACTGCCTTGACTTCTTACAACCACTCTGTGAGGCTTACTGCTTCTCAGGGGTGAGGAAGCCAAGGCTTAGAGAGCGAGAGAACGGGTGACAGGGTCTCGCCCAAAGTCCTATGCGATCACTTAGGTGCTGGGGCTGGCACCCGTGGTTGCCATTGCCCTGCGCTCACCAGCACACACACCCAACTGAAGCGACAAGGTTTACTGCTCTCAATGGCAAGAGTAAATGAGAACGGGCTACGAGCCTAATCAACCAGAGACCAGGCTTCCCGCCACATCCAGGAGCACCTGCCACACGTCAGGTGCTTCATACGTGCGTGTGAATGAGGTGCACGGAACTCCAGGCAACCAGAACCAGGGTCCAAGTGGGGACTCGGGGGGGTTGGGGGGCACACTGCGCAGCTGCAGGGGCCGGCCAGCCCCACCCTGCCTGTCCTCTCCTCCCTTCACCCCTCTCCTCACCCTCACCCTGGGCTGGCAGGGCCTCCCCGCTGGGGCTGAGCTCAGGGGGGCGCTCTCCTCACCTGCCCCCTCCTCACCCCCAGGCCTGTGACAGAGGAAGTCTCTGGTGGAAATACTCCCTAAAAAGATGGAGCCCCTAGCAAAGACAGCCGCCATGTGAGGAAGCTGTGGCAAGGGCAAGAGCTGGAAGAGTTCTCCTCCCACACAGGCAGGTAAGGAGCCCCAAGCATGCCCCTCCCCCCAGGAACAGCCACAGCAGTAGGATCCCAGGGATTCCTTGTATCCGGTCCCCGCTGACACAGGGGTTTCCCGGACACCTGCTGTGGCCGTGTCCACAAACGGGAGAGGCCCCTCTCCCACAGACATCAGACCCGACACGCAACACGCAATCCACGCCCAGGAGTGTGCAGGACAGGGGAGGCAGGTGAATATGAGCGATCGAGGAGGAAGAAGAGGAGGAGGAGATGGAAAAAAAAAGGAGGGGAAGGGGGAAGGGAGAAGAAGAAACGCAGGGGAGGAGGAAGGCGAGGAGGAGAGCAGTGTCTCACTAAGGTGCGCCCACGGACTCAAGCGCGCTCTCTCTGATTAACTTTCGAAAGAGCCTGCCGATTTTAATCATAGCAAACACAATGATGCCGGTTATTACTGCCTGAGTGGTCAGAAGCAGAACATAAAGACCCCAGAACAGCTTGTGGTCTGGACGTCCGTCGACGACTACCGGCTGGGCCCACGGCCCGGCCTCCGAGCTGTTGGGCTGCAGAGCAGGGGTCGCGGGGGCTTCGGAGAAGTTGTCAGTGAGAGCCAGCTCGCCGGTGCACGGCGGGTCGCCCTCAGGCAGTTCCCAGAGCACCAGGTCCGCGTACTGCCCGGAGCCGTGGCACCGCGGCGGCTCGGCCTGGCCCGCCAGGTCCGCCAGGCCCCGGTGCTGCCGCAGCCACCGCAGGAAGGGTCGCAGGCCGCAGTCGCAGCGCCAGGGGTTGCGCCCTAGTAGGACCTCCGTCAGCCGCGGCAGGCCCTCAAACACGTCGCCAGGCAGGGTCTGCAGCTCGTTGTGGTGGAGCTGCACCTCCTGCAGGCTGCTGAGGTTGCGGAAGAGCGCGCGCGGCAGGGCCCGCAGCCGGTTGCGGCGGAGCGACAGGTGGCGCAGGTGGCCGAGGCCGCGCAGCAAGCCGTCGGGCAGCGAGCTCAGCAGCTGGCTGTGCGTCACGCCCAGCACCTGCAGGCCGCTCAGGTTGCGGAAGGCGGCTTGCGGCAGGGTGCGCAGCCGCGTGCGGTTCAGCCAGAGCTCCCGCAGGCCAGCCATCTCTCCGAAGAGCGTCCCGGGCAGCTCGGCCAGCGGGTTCTCGAAGAGGGTGAGCAGCGTCAAGCGGTGCACGCGGAGAAACAGCGAGGAGGGCAGAAACTCCAGGCGGTTTCTCGCCAGCGTGAGGGAGCTCAGGTTCTGCAGGCTGTCGAAGGCCCCGGGGGGGACGGAGAGGATGCGGTTGTTGTGGAGGTGCAGCTCCCGCAGGGCGCCCAGGCCGTCCAGGAGCCCCGGGTCCAGACACACGAGCCGGTTCGAGTGCAGCATGAGTTTCTGGAGCTTCGCCTGCGCCACGAGCAGGCCGGCGGGCACCTGGGTCAAGTTGTTGGCCGACAGGTCCAACACCTCCAGGTTGCTCAGGTTTCTGAAGAGGCCCTCGGGGAGGGAGGCGAGCTGGTTGTGGTTCAGGAAGAGCTCCTGCAGGCTGCCCAGGGTCCGGAACGTGTTCTGGTCAATGCTCTGCAGCTCGTTGTGGTCCAGGAACAGCTGTTCCAGGAGCAGCAGTGAGTCCAGGAGCGCGGCGGGCAGCTGAGGGATCGCGTTGCTCGACAGCCGCAGGGTTTTCAGTCGGCCCAGGTCGCTGAAGGTGCCGGGGGCCACGGCGGAAATGTGGCTGTCGGAGAGCATCAGGCGCTGCAGGACCGTCATGCCTCGGAAGCTGTCGTTCTGCAAGGCGCCGGCGCCCATGTGGTAGAACAGGAGGTGCGTGAGGTTGGAGGGCAGTCCCAAGGCGGCGATGCGTGACACCTCGCCCCCGACGCAGCGCGCCGCGTCGCGGAAGTAGCACTGGCAGGTCCGGGGGCAGGGCAGGGACTGCGCGTGCAGGAGCCCCAGCGCTGCCCACAGCAGCGTGGGCCGGAGCAGCACTGGAAAGGCAACAGTGGGGGCTGCGGTCAGCACGCGAGGGCACTGGTGCTCTCCGCTCACACCCTACCACTCGGCAGCCTCCAGGCGGGACTCCCGACCTGGGCGCCCACCCCCTGCTCCTCCGCGGTGCACCTCTCCCTGCCTGGTGCCAGGACAGCCATTCTACACGCCGCTCCCACTCTTTCCTTTTCCTAATGGGCTAACTCCCTCTGTAAAGCAGCCACAAAAACTCGTGTGCAAGCCACAGACAGCCAGTCCTGGGAAACCTCTCCGGCGACAGCGTCGTCCTCGGAGCTGGGCCTCCTGTGGAAGCTTTCTAACTCGCCAGGGCTGGCCGCAGCCAGCAGCACGAAGGGACCGGCCGTCTGCAGCCCGGTTCTCACAGCCTCGCCATTCTGCAGGGTCGAGTTACCCTACTGACATAATGTACACCTCCGAGCGAGGAAAAGCCGCCAAGCCGATGCTCTCTGCCCTGCGTGGTCTCATTGCTTTATGTGTGCATCATTTAGCGCTGACAGCAACCTCGGCAGGCATTGCCACCATCCTCCTCGGCCCTGGGATGAAGACGCTCAGGCCCAGAACGTCCTTTAATTAGGGTCCTGTGGTTAGGATTTGAGGGTGGTCATTCTGCCTTCGCCATAAATAAGGAGCTGCCATTTCCAAAATGTGTAAGAAACATCAACACACGAGGCATCGAATTGTCTATGAAATACGCACAATAAAACTTATCTGCCGAAGCACTGTTTCCCAAGTGAAGTCTGACACTTGTTTCTAGTACCCAATGTTCCTTCTTAGGCACACAGACGCAGCCTTCTCATTTCCCATACCAATTAAAAAAAATATTTGACGGGGCCAGCGCTGTGCATTGTAGGCTAAGCCTCCTCCGGTGGCGCCAGCATCCCATATAGGCGCTGGTTCGTGTCCAGGCTGCCCCTTTTCCGACCCAGCATCTCTGCTACAGCCTGGGAAAGCAGCAGAGGATGGCCCCAGCGCTTGGGCTGCTGCACCGGCTAGGGAGACCTAAAAGCTCCTGGCTTCGGATGCACCCAGCTCCGGCCGTTGGGACCATTTGGGGAGTGAACCAGTGGACAGAAGACCTCTCCGTCTCTCCCTCTCAAATAAATAAATAAAATCTTTAAAAAATATTTGGCCTTACCTGACATGGTTCTGCACCCCAATGCAACTGAGAAGCTGTAAGGCTTCCCTGTGACCCAGCGCTTCCCACAGGAAGAGGGAGGCACCCCTGCATCCTGAAGATAGAGCCGCGACCAGGACGCATGCCAGGGGCGGCCCCTATCTCGAAAGGCATAGTCGGGGTTTTGATGACAGTTATCTCCAAACTGAAAGACAGGCTGTATTTACCCTGCATCGTGCTGTGGAAGCTGACAGGCAGAGGGGGAGTTGTCCAGAAACCGCACAACCTGACCACCCCCGCCATGCTGGAAAAGTCGAGCGACACCATTGCTGCAGCCCCCTCGGCCACTTCTCATGACACACTGCACCCAAATGTCCACTCCATCCCCACCACCGTCTCCTTTCTCCTTCTAGGAACAAGGCCCAGGAGAGTGAGTTGCTCCACTGATTTTTCTTTTTCGGAATAAGGCCAGGACGCTCTCAAACATGTTGACACTGCCGAGTTGAAGGGGTTTCTATGCGTGTTCTCATCTGGCTGTCACACTGTTTTCCAACACGGCTGTGCCCACCCACAATGCCACCTGCCCTGCCCACACTTGGACCGACTGAGCACTTTAGTCATTCACACAAAACAACTACCCGAGCCTGGTTTTAGTCTTTCATTCCCGTGTTTAAGGACTACTCCATCTTTTCACAGCACTGAAGACCACCTGTGCATCATCTGAGAAACCTGGGTTTCCTTTTGCCATTTTCCATATGCAAAACACGCACAAGCTTTCCAAAGGTTTGTCGGAAATGGGATGAAGAGATCTATTTTGGTGCAAAAAAACTGAAATCCATTTTTTTTTACAATTTTTATGATTTATTTATCTGAAAGGTAGACAGAGGGCTGCCATCCACTGGTTCACTGCTGGCAATGGCCAGGGCTGGGCTGGGGGCAAAGCTAGGGGGTGGGAACTTGAGCCAGGTCTCTGGTGTGGGTGGCAGCAACCAACTATGTGGACCTAGGGTCTCCTAGGGTCTGCATTAGTGGGAAGCCAGAACTGCTAGGCTAAATGCCTACTCCTAATAAACATTTTCAATGAACTTTTTGAAGAGCCCACATACGCAGATTACATTTTCTGTACCAAAATAAGCATGTTTCACTTCATTTTCTACAATCGTTGTAAAATGTCCATGTACACCTTTAAAACAAACTACTAAAGACATTATACATTCTGGATACTGACTCCTTGGTAATAGAGGGGTTATGAATACATCTGTTGGCCGGTGCCGCGGCTCACTAGGCTAATCCTCCACCTAGCAGCGCTGGCACACCGGGTTCTAGTCCCGGTCAGGGCACCAGATTCTGTCCCGGTTGCACCTCTTCCAGGCCAGCTCTCTGCTGTGGCCAGGGAAGGCAGTGGAGGATGGCCCAAGTGCTTGGGCCCTGCACCCCATGGGAGACCAGAAGCACCTGGCTCCTGGCTTCGGATCAGCGCGGTGCGCCAGCCGCAGCGCGCCAGCCGTGGTGGCCACTGGAGGGTGAACCAACGGCAAAGGAAGACCTTTCTCTCTGTCTCTCTCTCACTGTCCACTCTGTAAAAAAGAAAAAAAAAAATCTGTTGTTTGTCTTCACTTTTTTGGGTGTCTTTTGGTCAAGAAGTCTTAATACAGGCAATGTTACCCATCTTGTCTTTCATGAATTGCACTTTTTGCCTGTTAGAATAGATCTTCTCTTCTCCCCAGAAGAATATTCCCAAGGCTCATGCTGCGGCAGAGTGGGTTAAACATGGCCTATAGAGTCAGCATGCCACGTGGGGGCCAGTTCGAGTCCCAGCTGCTCCACTTCTGATTCAGCTCCCTGCTAATGGCCTGGGAAAAGCAAGAAGATGGCTCAAGTGCTTGGGCCCCTGTACCATGGGAGACCTAGAAACAGCTCCAGGCATCAGCCTGGCCCAGTGCCGGCAGATGCGACCATTCGGGGAGTGAACCAAGGGATGGAAGCTCTCTCTCTCAGGGCTAGTGCTGTGGCACGGCGAGTTAAGGGTCAAAATGTTAGTAAATTATATATATTGGGTGCAGGGGCCAGTTGGTAAAGCTACTGCCTGCAGTGCCGGCATCCCATATGGGTGCCAGTTCAAGTCCTGGATGCTCCATTTCCAATCCAGCTCTCTGCTATGGCCTGGGAAAGCAGAAGATGGCCCAAGTCTTTGGGCCCCTGCTCCCGCATGGGAGACCCGGAAGAAGCTCCTGGCTTCAGATCGGTGCAACTCCAGCTGTTGCGGACAGTTGGGGAGTGAACCAGCAGATGAAAACCACTGTCTCTCTCTGCCTCTCCTCTCTCTGTGTAACTCTTTCAAATAAATAAAATAAATCTTTACATAGGGTGCCAGTGTTGTGGCACAGCAGGTAAAGCTGCCTTCTGCAATACTGGCATCCTGTATAAGCACCATTTTGAGTCCCAGCTGCTCCATTTTTTAAAAGATTTATTTATTTGAAAGGCAGAGTTACAGAAAGGCAGAGGCTGCAACAGCCAGAGCTGTGCCAATCAGAAGCCAGGAACTTCTTCCGAGTCTCCCATGTGGGTGCAGCGGCCCAAGCACTTGGGCCATCTTCTACTGCTTTCCCAGGTCATAGCAGAGAGCTGGATCAGAAGTGGAGCAGCTGGGACTCGAACTGGAGCCCGTATGGGATGCCGGCTCTGCACGGGGTGGCCTTACTCACTACGCCACAGTGCCAGGCCCTGCTCCACTTTCGATTTACCTCCCTGCTAACGCACTTGAGAAAGAAGCGGAGGATACTGCAAGTGCTTGGGTCCCTGCACCCACAAGGGAGACCTAGAATAAATTTCTGGCTTCTGGCTTCGGCCAGGCACAGTGCTGGTTGTTGTGGCCCTTTGGGGAGTGAACCAGTGGATGGAAGACTGCTCTTTACTCTGTCTCTCCCTGTGTGTAACGCTGCCTTTCAAATCAATGAATCTGCCTCGCTCAGCAAAAGCCCTGCCTTCTCCAGGATTTCTGCAATGATCAGCTCACTCCAGTTTTCCTCCCTCCAGAGTGCTCTGCGGCACGGATGCTATTCAAACCTTCCCTGTCTGTTGTGTGTGCCAATAGCTCTGGTCTGATCCTCTCGACTACTCTTCCATTCCACCATTTAGACTTCCCGACACTTAACATGTGGCTCTACAGTCAAAGATATGATGTGATACATGAAATGTTGTCCCTGCTTCCTTCAAACATCTAGTTAAATGAGGAAGTATTAGGCAGGAAAGTAAATTTAGAGAAGGCAGTGTTCATGCAACCAAAAGCAAATAAACATATAGACAGCAGACAGGCATGCTACTTCATTCATTTAAATTTTTATTTTGAATAGCTTCAATCAAAAAAGATTTCATAAGGATATTTACAATGCTAAATGTACAATTATGAATGTATGCCTTTTGGACAATAGGGTACCATTCTTGAGCAGCAATACAATTTAAAAAATATAAAGATGCAGTATCATTTCTAATATAAATTTACTTAAAAATCCAAGGTTTTAAGGGAATTCACAAATCATAACAGGAAGTAATGATTTTATTAATTTCATGTGCACATAATTACCAAATTTTAATACATTAAAAATATGTGTAAATGCCCACACACTGTACAAAAATCAACACCCCACTTTTGTTAAAAGTTCCCAACCACTTCCCATCATAAATATACAAAAAACTATTTTCACCTATGTCAAAGCTGCATGCATGAAGTATTAGCATGTTGCCTAAAGTTTGGGTCTGCTCTTCCTTAGATATTGTTCTGGAACAAACTACAGACACTAAACATTATTTATTTACCGTGCATTTGAAACTGCGCAGCACTTTCACAAACACGGGACACAACATAAATAGAGTAAAAGCTGCAACAGTTTTGTTTAAATGCAAGTGCAATTTGGGAAGCTTTTCAAATTGAAAGATTATAAAACTACTACAAAAAGTACTTTGTTGTTGGCTTAGCCACTTTTATTCAAGCATTATTTGCAGCATTGCTGTACAGCAGTTGGTGCTAGAAGATAAAAAACATATTTTTCCCACGATCTGTATTTCAGGGAGGAAAAAAAAAAACTTTCAACAACCCTGAGGGAGACACACATTAAAAATCTTGTTATTTATTTAAAAAGTTAAAAAGTTACATATCATTATTTAACAATTACTTTCCCAGACATTTCTGTCCTTTAAGTATGTGCATAAATAAAATTTAAATCAGCAATATTAATTAATCTTAATACATCAAAATAATATATGTACAGATTTAAAAATTTAGGTCTGTATACACTCAAATAATTTAACATAAAATTCAGAATCAAAATTACTATGTACTGGTGACCTACAGAGAGAAGACTCAGTCTAACTATGGCACTGAGTAGGGCCCACATCCGGAGTCACAGATACCCTTCAAATAACATTGGCAACTTCAACAATCCACCCTATCTACAGTCAAATCTAACTTCTTACGAATGCTCTCCCACCTACCTAAAAGCCTCATTCCCTTGAACATAATATGGACAGATGAGACACAAAACCTTTAGTAGCTCTAAATATTAAAAGGGGATGGGGAGATTTGTCAAAAATAGCTCTTTATGATCATGCTCTTAAAGATGTCAGATGCAATCTGATAATTAGATTTTAAGCTGGTACTTAGCAATTACTTTAGTTGTATGATTCAGTATTTAAACCAAAGAATAAAATTTACAGTTCTGGAAATCACTAAAGGCTTAACACTTGAGCATACTGAAAATGAACATGGAAATTATAAAACAATCAAGAGAATAAGTAACTAGAGAAAGAAGTGCTAATTCACAGCCCAAGAGGTCTAAGATGCATAGCTTCATAGAATCATTCATGGAATTGTTATCATCTGGCATGTATTAATATCATAGACATTTTAATGGAAAACTGCGATTATCTTTTTTGTAAGAAATCATCAGTGGCAACAGCAGTGATCCTGAGTGTAACTGACACTTTTGTATAGTTACCAAATATCATTCAGGTCTTTGCAGCATAAAAAGGGAGAACCTTCTGGTTCTGCAGTTCTGGGTAACATATGATAAACTTCTAAATATTATCAGGAAAATAATGATGAGTTAGACAAGCAAGAACAGAGGATAATGCCGCCCTGTTTTAAGAGTGTAGGGTCCATTACAGCAATTCATTTCCTGTGTGTACTTTAACTGTGGGCACTGGCAAGCTGCTGAATTCTACCTAGAAAGGCATTTTCTTTAAGTTACTTTTAAGATTTTTATAACTGAAACATTACTCAGGCAAAACAGAAAGTTAAAAAACATTTTCCACAATTCTTTTGGCTAAGT